GAGAATCAATCGTTTCGTTGCATCAGTTCCTCGCCAAGTGAAGGAACACGAATCACCAGGATTCTTAATGCTAAACAGGTTTCCAAGGGGGGCGTAAATCGATACGAAACACTGGCGGGCGATATTCCAGCCCAATGTCGGATATCCAACAATGCCGCCGTCTTAGTCCGCTTTCCAACTACTTGGCGTCTGCCCAAGCACCGACTGTTACTACTTGTTGCGGACGTCCAACGCGCCACTACACACCAACGATATTGTCCTTGTTCCATCCTCTGCCTTCGTCCTCGTTCCACGAAACAAATGGAACGTCTCCGAGATATTACTCTGCCTCGATATTATTATTTTCCTTCCTCTCCTTTTTTTTTCCTTACCGGGGAGGAGGGAGGGGAAAAAGTAAGTTGATGCGATTTCGAAGAAAATTCGTTTCGATAATCATATTTAAGGTCTCGGATGGGATTAAACGGTGAAATATTAAGAAAATTATATTAATATATAATATTATTAATATTATTATAAATTATAATATATAAAAATATATTAAGAAAATCCGATGATTGTGAAATTGTTGATAATCTTGTTTAAAGTTTGGATTTTCGGCGCGAAAGAGTTCAAATTTAAATATTAAAATTATGAAAATAACAACGCGATGGAACAGAAAGGAGCGGTATAATTTTAAAATGAATTGAACATGGTATAAATGAAATACCATTACGGAATTTCCGTTCCGACGATGACATGATATTTATAAATATCCTAAAAATTGATAAAATATGGATAATATATTCAACGTGAAAATTTTATCCCTCGTTTTCTTTCGTTCTTTCCTCCGAATGAATATTATATTTTCGCATACATCTCGAACGCATACAGCTCGAACATTCTTTATATATATTCAAAGAATCTTTCTCGCTATATCATAAACTTAAAAGTATTGTGTTGCATACGTGTTCCGAGCCGTTGAATTCCTTTTCCTTCCATGTTTTTTTTCCTTTTTCTACGCGGTAATATGAAAAATATTGGCATACATTGGTAATTTCTCCTCGGGCTATATACTCTCAACTGTATCTCAAATATATGCTCAAGCGAGAATGTTTTCTCGCAACCGTTTCGTCATTTTCGTACACGTGTTTTCTATCATAATCCGTTGCCCCAAAATTCCTTTATCATTATTAAACTGTATATGCGATAAAAGTTCAACGTTGTTCAACTGAAACGAATATTATCGTAATTTGAAAAAAATTCGTAATTGAAATATTTTTTTCCACGCGTTATCCTCGTGAATTTTTTTTTGTTGAATTGCCGCTCGACTCTAATTCCTTTTTAAAATAAAAATAGTAAACGTAGTGTGAAAGGATAATCGTGGAGGATATTTTAAATATTTAAATATTTTAAATGCTTAAGTTTAATATTAATATTAATAATAAAAAAAATAATAATTAAATAAATAAAAGAAACTGACAGTTTGAATTATATAATTTATGCGTGTAATAAAACCCACTCCTATTCGTCGTTTTATATATACTCTCAGCGGTTAATTTGCATATTATTATTGCACATGTTAATCTTTATGAAACACCGATATAATAAAATCAAATTGCTCGTTTACGCGCGAAAAGGCTCTACACGCTTTTCGTAATTCCTGTATCCGTTGATACAAAATTTTCAACGTATCGTTATATATCTGTCGCGTTATTTCGTTTAAATTACATATCAAAAACTTCCAAAAAAACATTCGTTCGAACGATCGATCGAAGAGTCGAAGAGACGAAGAGTCGTTGGAGTCGTTGCTTACGAATGTAAAAAACAAATGTATACAAGATATTAAAAAAAAAAGCCTCGAGATAATGCGAAATTAAAAATTGGATTGAAATTCCATTGAATTTCCTAAAAAAAAAAAAAAATACGAAACGTGTATTTTTATAATATTTGGAACGAAAATAAAAAGTTCGATGTTGCTTGATTATCGCGTCGCGTTTCGAAAAGAGTATTGAAAAATGTCGTCTTCTTCTCTCGCTTCGAATCTCCGCGTCGATTCGTAAAATTCGAAATGGCGAGATAAAATAAACGCGAAACATTGAACCGGGAGTTTAAGCGGGGCGCACGCGCGTGTGTGCGCGCACACACACAGCAAGTTCCTCCGGAAATATTCAGTGGAAAGGATTCGTTCCACTAACCTGGCAGCCTGTTCCAGTTAAACGAAGGGAAATGGATCGACGATATATGCGGTTTAATCAATATGTCGGGATTACGAGTCGAGTAACGACGACTCGTGGCCGAAGACCACTCGCCGCTTCGAACGATTGTCGAGGAGGTACACACACGGCCGG